AACGTATTCAGAGGGTTCTTCGATATGTTTCAAGTGTTTGTAAACTGTTGGTAGATGTTTAGGTTCCCTCAATGGAGATAAGAATGGAGGTAACGCTACGCACTCGACAGTTTCGGTTTAGTTCGTCTGTAGCTTCTTTTCCATCGAGATACGAGTTCCAAACGAGAATTATCAATCGAAAAACGTTCCAGTATTCTGTCCTTCGCAGAAAAAAAAATCGATTTTAATTACTGTTGCAGATACTTGAATAACTTTGATACAACGCGAATGCATATTTCGCTTGTGCCCGGATACTTATCGACAGTAGTGTAGCTCAAAACTAATTTATTTTATATATTCTACGAATAGGTACTTATGTCCGGATAGTTATGGACGGTAGTGTATTTGCTTAATAAATTAGAACATGACCATTTAGAGAATTATAATTACTCGTAATTTGCAAAAATATCGCCGAAATTTCAACACAAAAATTTATTTATAAAATTTGAATTATTTAAAAATTTTTATTTTTGCACTTCTCTTTTAAATTTCTTGAATATCACCCTTTTTAAATAACGTGTAATTGTTATCGCACATAATTGATTTATGACGATAATGCTATGCAACGTATTAACATAAATCTTATTCAGTTAACGGATTATAATGTGCCGGAATTATAATAGACCGTATGCATTCACAATTTGCATAATATTGTAATATTCCACGTGGAATAGTAATACGTGGTAACTAAATTTATTATTATTATACAGCTTAATACATTATGCACCATATTATTCACGTGTGAATGATGCCTATGTTTCGTTACAAGTTTCATTCTTGATCAGAGTATGACAGAATTGATTAAATAAAACCGTTGTACTTCAGAGTACAAAAATTGAAATTATGAAACTGAAATTATATTGAAAAGCTCAAGTTATAATTATTTATTGATTAAAATTATTAATTAAATACAACCGCTACACCGCTTTCGAGTACAAAAATTAAAATTATGAAACTGAAATTATTATTACTTTAATCATTTTAAAATTATGAAACTGAAATTATTAAAATCTTAATAATTTCAAAATTATAAATTCCTGGAATATCCATGTTTCTGCAAGTATGCTACATAAAATTATATTAAACAAAGCTTTCCTATTTTATGAAACCCGAACGAAACATTCCATTGTTAATAAACGTATGTAAAACATTAATTCTGTGGAGTTTATTGTATTATATTTTATATTTTTACTGAAAGTTATAAACTCCATAAAATGCTTCTTCAAATTTTATAAAGCACGACACAATTTGTCAAACGTAATTGATGAAAATCCAAAAATATTTCTCTTACAAAAACGTCAAGACACAAAGTAAATCTATAGATAATCATAAAAAATTAAAACTATTTTTGTTTTCAAGAAATTAGAAATACTTCTTCCGTCAAAAAAATTGAAACACTTTTGCTGTCAAAAAATAATAAACCCTTTCACTTTCAAAATCATGTTCGCTGAATCAGAAAAAGTATCTACGAACATGTACCATATATTTCGTTCCGATAATGCCTCGTTAAATGCGAAGAAGATTAGTCAAGCTCTATGTAGAACGTCGGAGATGGATAATTTCGGGCAATAACGATCGATAATGCCTGTGTGTTTCAGCAATTCTGCACTCACTGTGCAAGGAATTTCTGCCGACGAACGTGTCCGCCATTCTGTACCTGATGAACTACGAACAATACGGTCGAAGTACTGCCAGTGCTCAATACTTTTTGCAGCTCGCTGGTTATTTAGGAATTCCAGTAATTGCTTGGAATGCCGATAACTCCGGATTAGAACGGGTGAGTTCGCCTAAACGTTTTCCTTTCACTGTATTTCGCAGAAACAAGTTTGCCAAACTTTCCTCCGGTTGCTTTTCAAACAAGGTTCATAACATTTAGTTTAAAAAACTCGTTTTAAGTTTCTGAATTTAATTTACTGAGTCAGACATTCTTCAAGGATGAAGAGTTAAAAAAAAATACTTATTTTAAATTGTTGTATTAAACCGAACGAGTCAATCACGTTTCAAGTATGAAGAGATAACAACATTTATATAAAAAAATATTTATTTCAAATTGTTGTATTAAACCAAATGACTGAGTCATTTGTTAAGATCGTAAGTCTAATAACGTTACAAAAAATAGTTATTTTAAATTGTCGTATTGAACCAAAGGAGTTAGTCATGTTTTAAGTATGAATAGTTAATAACGTTTATATAAAAAAATATTTATTTCAAATTGTTGTATTGAACCAAATGACTGAGTCACTTGTTAAGATCATAGGTCTAATAACGTTACAAAAAATAGTTATTTTAAATTGTTGTATTAAACCGAACGAGTCAGTCACGTTTCAAGTATGAAGAGTTAATAACATTTATATAAAAAAATATTTATTTCAAATTGTTGTATTGAACCAAATGACTGAGTCACTTGTTAAGATCGTAAGTCTAATAACGTTACAAAGAATAGTTATTTTAAATTGTTGTATTAAACCGGACGAGTCAGTCACGTTTTAAGTATGAAGAGTTAATAACATTTATATAAAAAAATATTTATTTCAAATTGTTATATTGAACCAAATGAATCAGTCACATTTGAAGTGCTACAGGTTACTATTTAGATTAAAAAAGTATTCCTATCAAATTATTGTATTATATCAAACAAGTGAGTCACATTTTAAGTACAAAAAATTAATAATGTTTAAAAAGATTCTTTTAAATGTTGACACCTTGTAAAATTCTGATAAGATTAATTTAAACGTCGAAGTAAAATCTAATAAGCGTTCCATCACTTATATGAACAAGGGTAAGAGGCGGTGTCATTAGTTCACAGGAGGTAATTTCCAGCGTATCTTGAAGCACTCGACACGAATCACACCTCTGCCACGAAGATATTCAACAAGACGCCTCGAATTTCTGTTTTCAGAGAGCCTCGCAGAGTAACTTGCAGCTGCAGTTGGCACCCTCGTTAGAGCATCAAACAGCCGCGATGTTGAGCATCCTCGAGAGGTACAAATGGCACCAATTCAGCGTGGTTACCTCGCAGATTGCAGGACACGACGACTTCGTGCAGGCTGTCCGGGAGAGGATCTCCGACATGCAGGACACCTTCAAATTCACGATATTGAGCGCAATTTTGGTCACCGAGCCGCACGATCTGCTCGAACTGGTTAACAGCGAGTCCAGAGTGATGTTGCTTTATTCGACCAGAGAGGAGGCCACCCATATCTTGAAGGCTGCTCGCGATTACAAGATCACCGGGGAGAATTACGTGTGGGTGGTGACGCAGAGTGTTATCGAGAACCTGCATACACCCAGCCAGTTTCCAGTAGGAATGCTCGGTGAGTTATGCGAATTAACGATGTTGCGATAAACCACATTCCACTATAAGCTAGAATGGGGTGGCTTCGCACTTTCGCACCTTCTCTGACGATCAATGGTAATTTGGTTTGCGTTTAGTTAAAGAGATGCGAAGGATTAAAGACCCTGGGAGATTAGGTTGAAGATCCTAAGCTAAAGATTGGATTAATGACATCAAAGTAGTTGGACGATAAACAAGTTAACCCAAAGATTTCTAGACTCATTCGAAACTACTCTTTGAATCTTCTACGCTGTCTGAAGATTTTCTATACGATTTCCTTAACTATTCATGGGTTTATTTCCTGTTAGCTGTTTATAGGATCTTAGATTTCTCATATGCTTCTCCCGGGTTCATAAGCAATTCATGGATTCATAGGTTTCGTACAAGCTCCTCCTTCATAAGCTATTTTCCAGATTCTCTACAAGCTCTTCATCTTTATGTTCTTCCCAGATTCTTCATAAACCTTATAAACTGCACTTTATAGATCTTTCGCAAGATTTTCTGGGTCCTCTATGAGCAATCATGGATTCGTAGGTTTTCTATGAGCTCTTCCTAGGTTCATAGGTTCCTTATGAGCTCTTCCTGGGTTCGTAGCTTCCTTACAAGCTCTTCTTGGGTTCTCCATAGGTCATTTGCAGATTCTCCTCAAGCCATTCATAGGCTACTTCTGCATTCTACCTAGGTTCTACTTACCTACATGCGTTCTACCTAACTTCTTGTCTGGACCCTATGCTCCATAGATCCTTGACAAAATTACTCTAGGTGCTCTATAATCAGTTCATGGATTTATAGGTTTTCTGTGAGCTATCCCTGGGGTCATAGTTTCCTTATGAGTTCTCCCTAAGTTCTCCATAAGCTATTTTCATATTCTCTATAAACTCTTCATAAACTACCTCCACATTCTATCTAGGTTCTTTATAAACCTTGTCTATATCCTACACTCCATAGATTTTTCACAAGATTTCTCTAGGTACTCTATAAGCTAATCATGCATTTAGAGGTTTTCTTTGAGCTTTTCCTGGGTTCATAGGTCCCTTATAAGCTCTTCCTGGGTTCTCCATAAGCTATTCCCAGATTCTCCACAAGCTCCTCATAAGCTACTTCTACATTCTACCTAGGTCCGCCATAAACCTTGTCTAGACCCTCTACTCCATAGATTCTTCACAAGATTTCTCTAGGTACTCTTTAAGCAATTCATAGATTCATAGGTTCTCTGTGAGCTCTTCTTGGATTCATAGGTCCCTTATAAGCTCTTCCTGAATTCTCCATAAGCTATTCCCAGATTCTCCACAAGCTCCTCATATGCTACTTCTACATTCTACCTAGGTCCGCCATAAACCTTGTCTAGACCCTCTACTCCATAGATTCTTCACAAGATTTCTCTAGGTACTCTTTAAGCAATTCATAGATTCATAGGTTCTGTATGAGCTCTGCCTGGGTTCATAGATTCCTGATGAACTCTTCCTGGTTTCATACGTCATAAACTATTTCCAGATTCATAGTAAACTCTTTACAAGCTACCTCTATATACTAGATTCCTCACAAACCTTGTATAGACCCTACTCTAATCTTCATCTCACCTAACCTACACTCTGAGAAACTCAAAAATGCTTGAAGAAACCCTGCTATCTCCAAAAATAATAAATCCAAATAAACAAAACGTGTGTTAAGACATTCGCACGTTCTTTATTTAAGAAAAATATAGCTATAATTACAGTATCGCAAACTAGGTCAGGCCAAGTCTCTAAAACGGTGGAAGACCAAACTTCATTAGGTGAAATTAAATGGTGTCAAATAGAACGTCACGTGACGCATACGTTGCCTCTAAAATGGCACTTTGAGAATATCTGGGTCATCTCTAACGAAATTCGATTTTCTTTTTAACTCACTCAATTCTTCGGTTATTTCGAAGAGATTCAAAAGGTACAAGCGACGAAATTTATGAGATATTTTGAACGTTGCTATAAGTACCTCGAGAACCGACATGAAAAATGAAAATGCAGCTTCGTTTAATAGAAAATTGTTTTTGCGCTGTATCGTTTTATAGCTTTATCTTGGCTCAGTTACGTGGAACAATACTGAACGCGTGAGTGAATAAATTGACTTTAATATTTCAAGCATCAACGAGGCGCTTTGATGGACATCGTGTGAACGCAATTGTTATTTTGATCGATACGATGGATTTGAACAATACACGAAACCCGGTTTTACGTGTGCGAATAAAACGAATGATGTATTAAGAGGAATATTTGCATTTGTGATGAGTTCCTAGTTTCTGAACGAAAACTTTATTTCTGCTCTGCATTCAATATTTGAGGGAAAGTTTTATTCTAGCGAGTTTTATTTTACTGTAAGCTTAATCCCGCTGAATTCGTAATTTCGAACAAAAGTTTGATTCTCGTGGATCTGTGATTTTAGTCGATTTTCGTATTGCGGTTCAACTTTTAGCTTCGAACTAAAATTTGATGAGCGATCTACATTTTTAGGGAACATTTCAATGCAACTAAATAGTGTTATACGTAAAATTTGTACTTAAATTTGACGAGTGCTCTAAATTTTTAGGTAACGTTTTAATACAATTAACTATTATTACACGTAAATTTGTCAGTAAATAAATTTGAAGAGTGATGTAGGTTTACAGGGAACATTTTAATGTAACTAAACATTATTCTACTTAAATTTGTCAGTAGATAAATTCGACGAGTGATGTCAATTTTTAAGATACATTTCAATGCGACTAAACATTACTACATATACGTAAATTTGTCAGTAGTTAAATTTGAAAAGTTGTGTAAATTTATAAACAACACTTTATTGCAACTAAACATTATTATACATAAATTTGTATCAAGTAATCTGAATTTTCATATAAAATTTCAATGCGACTATTATACCTAAACTTAAGGTAAACTGTAACTTTTCAAAACGATCTTTGATGTGTGTCAAACAGATAAAAATGAATTAAGTTAAATTTCACCGAAGAAGTTATAAGATTTTCGAAGATAAGAAGCACGAGGTATATTTCTAATGGAATGGGTCGTTTATTGGAAAATTGTGCTGGAAATAATGAGAAAGTCTTCCTCTCTGCTTCTTGAAAAATGTTGCCTGCGTTCGCAATCTATAATTTTTCGCTAGCTAAAGCTTTTCCGAGTTTTAATTGCTTATTGATTAGATTCCAGCGGTGTTAACCCGGAGAACTTAAAATTGGATGAAATTTATAACCTTGCTGGGAAATGGAACTGTTCAACAAAATTTATATTCGGAGAAATAGTTACATTTATATGGGATTGCAGGAATATAGGGGTATAGGGTTATGAACGATTTATGAACGTAGAAATCTAGAAATTTAGGGATTTGAGGGTTTAGTATTCCGGGAATTTAGGAATTTGCGGATTTAGTAGTTTGGACATTTAGGGTGTTTGAAATTTGAAAATTTGGGAATTTAGAGAAATGTAATTTTAGAAATTTTTGAGTATAGAAATTCGAGGATTTGGTAATTTATAAATTTATAAATTTGAGGATTCAGTAATTTGTGAACTTAGAAATTTGGGGATTTAGAACTTTGCTAACTTGAGTATATAGATTTATTAATTTGGGAGTTTATGAATTTAGCAATTTAGCAATTTAACAATTTAGAAATTTAGAAAATTAAAAATTTAGAAATTTAAGAATTTAGCAAGTTACCAAGTTAGGAATCTAAGAATCTAAAAATCTAAGAACATAATTCTTCAGAAATATATAAATCTAGATATTGACGAATACACATTCCGACACAGTACATAAAAATATTTCTTTTTTACGATACAGAAAAAAATTCCATCCCGCAAAAAATATTTGCTCTATGGTACACGTGAAATTTCAGCGGAATATTGAAATACAGGTAGTAGGACTACGACCCACCATTTATAACCATAAAAAAATCAATCGCACGTTTCGTTCGTTATGCATCAAAAATCTCCGATGAGAAGAGAAGAACTAATATTTCAAGTAATATTTCTTCTGTAGCCAGAATAGATTCGAGGTATAACATATACCGTTCGATATATTCCCGTAGGACAAAGTTCGATGAATTTATTCCTCGGAGGAGGAATAGGAATCTCGAGGAAGGCATCAATTTCCGATTTCCGCGATTCTCACACCGTTGCCGAGTGTTCTTTTCATCGCGTTCGCTGCCCACTCGAAATATCGAGGGACGCTCTAATGATCGTGAAACCGGTATTTTCTCCATTTCGATTGGGATTAAATAGACGGAGTAAACGTTGACTTTCGCTACTTGAGGATCACCGCTCCAATAAAACAACGACCAGCTTCTCAGCCGCAGGGGTTCGAATAATTAACCGACTCCTGGACTTAACTGATTAATATTCTTTTTCGTTAATTTTGAACGAAATGGAGATTTAAATTTTACTTGATTATTTGTAGTTGAAAATTAAAGTATAATTTTTAATTTAAGTACAGCAGGTTTTAATATACGTACTTATTAAATAAGAACAGCAAATTTCAACATGTGTGTATGCTACACGAATACAGCATATTTAAACATGTGTACATGTTACATAAATACAGCAAGTTTAAATATAAGTAAATATTAAATGAGAACAGCAAATTTCAACATATATGCATACTACACAAATATGGCATATTTAAACATGTGTGCATATTACATAAATACAGCAAGTTTAAATATAAGTAAATATTAAATAAGACCAGCAAATTTCAACATGTGTGTATGCTACACGAATACAGCATATTTAAACATGTGTACATGTTACATAAATACAGCAAGTTTAAATATAAGTAAATATTAAATGAGAACAGCAAATTTCAACATATATGCATACTACACAAATATGGCATATTTAAACATGTGTGCATATTACATAAATACAGCAAGTTTAAATATAAGTAAATATTAAATAAGAACAGCAAATTTCAACATGTGTGCATGCTATACGAATGTAGCATATTTCAACATGTGTACATATTACATAAATATAGGAAGTTTCAACATATGTGCACCTACACAAGTACAGCAAATTTCAACATATGTAGACATATATTACACAAGTACAACCAATTTCAACATATGTGGACATATATTGCACAAGTACTGCATATGTATATCAACATGTGTGTATACTACACAAGGACAGTAAGTTTCTACATAAGCACATACTAATAAGAACAGCAAATTTTAACATATATGCATATTACACATGTACAGCATAATTCGACATGTCTACATACTACATAAGTACAACACATTTCAACATACGTGCATACTATATAAGTATAGGTTATTTCCACATGCGTGCATACTGTGCAAGTACAGTCAATTTCAACATGTGTGTATGGCATACAAACACAGTCAATTTCAACATATGTATGTACTATACAAGTACAGCCAATTTCAAAGTAAATACTACATAAGTACAGTAAATTTCAACATAACTATTAAACAAAAGCAGTAAAGTAGATAGTACATCAGCACGGCAAATTCCAAACATACCAACCGAATACCAACATAACAGAAACGTGACCTAACCTAACTACCGTGAATACCCTAAGTAATGCGAAAGAAAATGGAAACAAAGTTTATATAAATTAATTTTCCTTGCCGCAAGTGCAACGTAAAAAAGAATACGTTGAACAATTACATTATCGTAAGTTACATTTCTGTAAAACACCTTTGTTCCGAACGTGCATATACGTTTCTCGGTTGCTTGAGCAAGATTTACGTGCAATACGAAACAATCTGCACCTGAAACAACTGTATACCCTGAAGGATCTTTTCCCGTGGGTAATTTCACGAACCTCGGGGAAGAAACTGCGCACGGTAATAACGTTTATGAAACGAAATTACCGCAGCAAGGGGCCAACCTTTCTCTAATTTCACTGAAATTTCTCTTTATCTCTGTTTCGCCATTTCGCGCGCACATGATCCTGTCGTATATTTTTTCCCACCGACCCAAAATTCTCGTGCCAGTGTGGTCGATGTCGGTGATAGAGGAGTTTCAAAATTCAATAATTTCAAGGTAGAGGAAAAAAAACGCGCGGTAACGATGTCACTTTTCCATCGGGTTCGCTGCGTGGGAAAATCGAGAGAAGTGACAGAAATACGCTCGATTCTCGCAAAATCGCTGTACTGCGTGGATAAAAATCCTATTTTATGAGAGCACAGTTATCGAAAACACCCCTGAAACGTGCTTCTGTATATTCGGGCTAATTGTTCGGTTTTTGTTGGTGTTAAAATATTATGCAACTCATTTGGTGTTTTTTTTAGGTGACTTCGAGCTTTCTTGTTGAAACGTTGAATACTTGGCACTGTTTATTTTTGAATGGATTTGTTAGTTTTATTTATTTAGTCAGGTCTATCAATATCCCAGTTTCCTAATTTTTCAATTTCTCAATTCTTCAAATCTCTAATTCTCCAATTTTTCAATTTTCCCAATTTCCCAATTTCCCAATTTTTCAAATCTCTATTTCTCCAATTTTCTCATTTTCCAATTTTCTCAATTTCCAAATTTTTCAATTCTCTAATTTCCCAATTTTCCCATTTTCCCAATTTCCAAATTTCCAAATTTTCCAATTTTTCAACTTCTCAACTTCTTCAATTCTTTAATTTCTCAATTTTCTCATTTTCCAATTTTTCCAATTTCCCAGTTTCCCAGTCTTCCAGTTTCCCAATTTTCTCATTTTCCAATTTTCCCAATTTTCCAGTTTCGCAGTTTTCCAGTTTCCCAGTTTGCCCAATTTCCTAGTTTCCCAATTTTTCAATTCTTTAATTTCCTAATTTCCTAATTTTCTCATTTTCCAATTTTCCAATTTCCTAATTTCACAGTTACATAATTTCCCAAATGCCCCTTTTCCAACTCTCAAAATTTATGCGATAAAATATTATGCGATTCATTTGATATTTTTTTACTTCACTTCGAGCTTTCTTGTTGAAACGTTGAATACTTGGCATTGCTTATTTTTGAATGGATTGATTTGCTAGTTTTATTTATTTAGTGAAGTTTAATCAGTCAGTTAATAAGGAATAATTAATTAGTTTTGTTTATCTCAAAAAATTTAATTCCCCTCATAAAAATTGTTAAATTTATTTTTAAAATAAAAGTAGTGAATAAACGTATAAAAATTTCTCCTTAGTAATTAGACTAATTATTGGTAATTTAATAATATTAAATTATTAATTGTTGTTAGTAAAATAATAATATTAACTTATTAATTGTTGTTAGTAATTTAATAATATTAACTTATTTACTGTTAATGGTAATTTAATAATATTAAATTATTAATTGTCATTAGTAATTTAATAATAGTTTGAGTATCAGATCAATATGTTATAGCTATTAATTTAATCATGTTTTATTTTAAACTTAAATGACTTATCCTACAAAATTAATACAAAATTTTATAAATTATTACATAGTAGTTTAGTCACGTTAAATTCGTAATTGTATCCAATCCCCCTGGAATCCAAAGTGTTAATTAAATCAGCGTCGCCATAGTTTCCCTGTTTGCTCATCGATGCCAACAATAAACCAAAGTATATTGTACTCCAGTTAATTAACTCTGTAATCAATAAATTTAATTCCCGTAACTTTCATCCACTGATCGTCAACTTAAAGGTACATTTAATTACGTTAATAACAGTTCCTTGTTTTATGTGTATTTTTAGGTGTGCACTTTGATACAAGCACGGAGAGTTTGGTCAGCGAGATCACGACGGCGGTGAAGGTTTATGCATATGGCGTTGAGGATTTCCTGAATAATCAAAACAATCATCACCTCAGTTTGAATACACAGCTCAGCTGCGAAGGGAGTTATGGCGAATCTCGCTGGAACGCTGGAGATCTATTTTTCAAGTAATTAGAAAAATATTTTAATATTACTTATTTGGAAATTAATTACGAAGTTTGCAAATGTTAAAAGCGAGAATAAGATTACACGAGTTAGCTTTCAAGAATTTATGAATCCATCTAAAATCATTTACACTTTTTATTTGTTTATTTCATTTCGTGTTGACTTTACATAGAAATGTAGAGTTAAATATTTGGGTGTTTGGACATTTGTTAACATGGAATTCTAGAAAATTAGAAAATTAGAAAATTAGAAAATTAGAAAATTAGAAAATTAGAAAATTAGAAAATTAGAAAATTAGAAAATTAGAAAATTAGAAAATTAGAAAATTAGAAAATTAGAAAATTAGAAAATTAGAAAATTAGAAAATTAGAAAATTAGAAAATTAGAAAATTAGAAAATTAGAAAATTAGAAAATTAGAAAATTAGAAAATTAGAAAATTAGAAAATTAGAAAATTAGAAAATTAGAAAATTAGAAAATTAGAAAATTAGAAAATTAGAAAATTAGAAAATTAGAAAATTAGAAAATTAGAAAATTAGAAAATTAGAAAATTAGAAAATTAGAAAATTAGAAAATTAGAAAATTAGAAAATTAGAAAATTAGAAAATTAGAAAATTAGAAAATTAGAAAATTAGAAAATTAGAAAATTAGAAAATTAGAAAATTAGAAAATTAGAAAATTAGAAAATTAGAAAATTGTAAGATTAGTGATTAAAGAAATTGGAAATTAGAATTTCAAAAATTTAGAAAATTAAGAAATTGGAAAATTCAGAAATTGGGAATTCAGAAAGTTGAACAATTAGCGATTTATGCAGTTGGAAAATTGTAAGTTTAGAAATTTAGAAATTTGCAAGTTAAGAAATCTGAAAGTTTGGAAGTTTAGAAATTCAAAGATTTGTTACTACAAAAATTTCCAAGGATATACAAACTTGAAAATGTAAATTAAAAATTGAAGTAATTTAGAAGAACTTAAAATTTTCAAATTGATATGTAAATACATCGACTACTTGTTACTTCCCATCACTGCCAACTATTTGGCAAAATTTAACTAATGTAAAAAAGTTATACAAAATTGGTGTTTATAAAAAGTAAATCCGAAAATAACAATTTTTTAAACAAACTATAATTGTTTAAACTATAACTGCCTCTAATCTTTGTTCAGATATTTAAAGAACGTGTCAGTGGAGGGTGACCAAGGAAAACCGAAGGTGGAGTTTACACAAGACGGTGTTTTGAAAGCGGCCGAACTGAAAATCATGAATCTCCGTCCGGGTTTAAGCAAACAGCTCGTCTGGGAAGAGGTGAGTCATTTTCATTATTTTTTATCGATTCCACGACGTGAAAATTTGCGAATTTGCATCGACAAATTCGCAACGTTAACGCTGGATATTCTTTGTCCTGAACACCAACGATTCAATCTGGTACGGGTTAGCCGAGATCAGCATAAAGTCTGATGTGCAAGTCCTGAAGCGATTCTCCCAGGGCTGGAGGCCGGGAAATATCAGATTCCTTGAATGGGAGAGTTCACGTGGAAAAGCAGAACAGGAAAAAGAGTCGCGGTCTCATGATTCCAGAAAGAAAAGCGAGCTACCCTGATTTATTCGGGTTTCTTTTATCTAAACTTCATTTTTACGAAACCTATTGATTCTGAAGTTTTATTTTGAGTAAACAATTACGAGACTGGTATATAAAATTGTTGTGAACTGAATAATTCAATGATGGGCTTTTGTTTGAAAATTTTTGTCGACTGAAGTTGGGATACGTGTAATGTGATATTGTTTTCAAGTTTCCTAGTTTTCTAGTTTTTTAGTCTTCTAGTTTTTTAGTTTTTTAGATTTTTAGTTTTCTAGTTTTCTAGTTTTCTTGTTTTCTAGTTTTCTAGTTTTCTAGTTTTCTGGTTTTCTAGTTTTCTAGTTTTCTGATTTTCTAATTTTCTGATTTTCTAGTTTTCTAGCTTCCTCATTTTCGATTTTCTTGGTTTCCCAATATTCTCATTCCCCGATTTTCTTAGTTTCCCAAAGTCCTCATTTTCCAATTTCCTAGGATTCAATATCCCAATGTTCCAATTTCCCAATTTCCCCCCTTCTTACACCATCAATTCCCCAATTTCCCCTTTCCTTACTCTCCCAAATTACCAATTTCCTAGTTTCGAAATTTTCCAATTTCATAATTTCCCAATTTCTTAATATCCCACTTAACCTATTTCGCAATTTACAATTTTCCAATTTCTCAACTTCCCAATTTTCCAGTTTCCTAATTTTCAACTTTTCCAATTTCCCAATTTACCAGTTTTCCAGTTTCCCAATTTTCCAATTTACCAGTTTCCCAGTTTCCCAATTTTCCAATTTCTCAGTTTCCCAATTTCCGAGTTTCCCAGTTTCACAATTTCCCAATTTTCGAGTGTCCCAATTACCCAATTTCTCAATTTCCCAGTTTCCCAATTTTCCAACATTCCTTTTCCTACTCACCCAATTTTCCAATATCATAGTTTCACAATTTTCCACTTACCAAATTTCCAAACTTCCCAGTCACCTAATTTCCCAATTTTCCCATTTCTTAATATCCTACATTCCCTATTTTGCAATTTCACAATTTCTTACTTTCCAAATTTTACAATTTTCTAGCTTCCCAATTTCCCAGTTTCCCAATTCTCAACTTTTCCAATTTCTTAGTATCTCAATTACCTATTTTCCCAGTATTCCACTTTTCTAATCACTTAATTCACAAATTTCTGAATTTCCCAATTTCCTAATTATCAATGCAACAATGTATCTTAAATAATAACCCTCTTATTTAAATTTTTTTATCAACTATAATTGGAATGCGTGCAATATGATATTGTCTATAATAAACTTGCTCAAAATGGTATTTTTATGATTATTTAAAATCACGATACGAAAGGATGATTTAATCATGTTTAATTTCTAATAATGAATAGTCTCTGCATTATACAATATTTCGTTTTTAGTAACAAGTAATCTGTCGTTTTCAATACAGCATTTTTAATAACAAATAATCTGTGCGGTTCTTAAAACTTTATTTCTTTGGGTATAGTATCGAAGTTCATTTAAACGCTCAACGTCTCTAAATTAAAGTTTCAAGGTCATCCAACAGCTGACCTCGTTAGACTTTCAAGTATATTTAATACTTATCATTTTCACCCTCGATTTTCAAGTTCATTCAGTGTTTAAACTCTTGAGACTGAAACTTCAGGTTCATTCAGCGCTTGACCCCTCCAAATTAAAACTTCAGGTTCATTCACTGCTTAACCCCGTCAATTTAAAGCTTAAAGTCCATTCAATGATCAATCAAAAGAGGTTTTCGTTAAATTCATACTTAATATCTTCAGTTTCACTTTCAAGTTCATTACGTACTTAATTTCCGACTATACGACAGCGAAAGAAACATCAGCTGGATTTGACCGTACGCTCGATCAATACTGGCGAAACAATAATTGAAGTACGGACGTACTTGTTAAAAAAAGATACCGTATTTTGTTTTTTTTTTTTTTTCGGAACAAAATACGCTTTCCGCCCGACCGAATATTGTGGGAGGATGAGCAAAATATAAAATAGAACTTGTTGGTATTTCGGTCGCGTTTGCAGGAACATTTTGTTCATGTTACGAGGAATTTCTTCGGAGGGTGTTAGTAATTTGAAAATTAAAAAATTTGGAGGTTTCATAATTTTGTAAGTTGGTAATTTAAGTATGTGAAAATTTAATAATTTGATAATTTGGAAGGGAAAAATTTGGATATTTGAGAATCTAGTAATTGGGTAATTTGGAAATTTGGAAATTTGAAGGTTTGTAAAATTGAAGAATGTATAAATTAGGTAATGTACAGGTTATAGAAAGTGGAAATATACTAAGCTAAAAATAACACAGTCGGTATAGAGGAATTTAAAGCATTAAACATAAAGAAATTTGGAATGTTGGAAATTTGTCAGTTTGTTAATCTTCTTATTTTCCAATGTTCTAATTTCCCAATTTTCCAATTTCCTAATTTTCTCATTTTTCAATTTTCCAATTTCCTAATTTTCTCATTTTTCAATTTTCCAATTTTCCAATTTTCTCATTTTTCAATTTTCCAATTTTCCAATTTCCTAATTTCACAGTTAGATAATTTCCCAATTGCCCCTTTTCCTACTCTCAAAATTTCTCAATTTTCTATTTTCCCAATTATCAAATTTCCAATTTCCCGATTTTCTCACTTTCCAACTTTTCAATTTTTCCAATTTTCCAATTATCCAATTTCCTAATGTCTTAGTTACATAATTTCTCAATTATCCCTTTTCCTACTCTCAAAATTTCCCAATTCTCCAATTTCTAATTCCCCAATTTTCTCACTTTTCAATTTTCCAATTTTCCAACTCACCAATTTTGCAATTTCCTATTTTCTCAATTTCCTAATTATTAATGTCGTCATTTAAATTATTAAACAAACATTAAAGAATTTACTAATTTAGAAACTTAACCTCATAATTCAAGTCCTTATAATCCAAGAAATGTAACACTATAAAATTTCCAAATTATTCATTCATTCGTCATAATTCCACCGCATTCATATAAACCCATTCAGTTATTTCTCAATTACCGCAAATAGTCCACCGTCTTTAAAGCAATAAAACGATTAATATTCAAATTCCATTTCGTACAAACTCGTATTCACTCCTCCCCATTCAAATAATCTTACGAATCAGTTGCCCATAAATATTCGTGCTCAGCTTTTCAATTTTCCGTGAATGATACCGTATAAAATGTTTTCAACCACGCGAGTCTTCGTTTGAAAATCACGTATTCAGCAATTCTATGTTTCTCCCTTTCACCGGACACGATTCATGTCCATAAAAAGAAGATATCTTTCTGCAAATGCAATGAAAATGTTTCCACGATAGTACAAATTCGCCGAAAAAAGTGAAACGTTTCTCGCACCTCGTCAATGGGGCAGATTTCCATCGCGACGGATTAAAAATGTCCATTTAATTGCGGTGAACTACGGCCACCGCACTGATAGCATTTTAGGTAGAACAATTCCCGGATTATCCTTGCATAAACGTACTCTGACCAGCACACCGAGCTTCCGTTTCATCCATTGCCGAATCCTCGGCTTTTCTCTCTCTTAAAGCTCCGATTTCCCGCCGCTTTTCGCTCATTTTTTTCTGATCTCGCCATTTTACGGCTTCCTCTTTTGTCTACGGACTCGTTTCTCGCCTCTATGAATCGCTGGACCATGGCTCTTTTCTTTTGTGCCGTTGTAAATGGGTATTTTTCTTTTCCTCCTTGATAATGACTCGAACGCGAACTGTTTTTCGGAACAAAGACTTTTCTTGGACGTGCTTAATAGCTCCTGTTAATGAATTATTTATTGCTTACGGAAACTAAATAAGTTTCGCGAAATTGCCTGGAAAATTTTGTAGTCCACTATTTTTTTACGGGTTATATTAATTTATATGATGTACAATTTCATTATTTGTTATTTATTTGCTATTATCGCAAATAGTCGTGTACTACGAATTTTCAAGGTGGATTTTCAATTAACATTACAACTATTGATAGTTGGTACAATTGGTACACTTTATTATCTATTTTATAATCTTCTTCACAGTAATTTTACATCTGTTTTTCTTTTCATATTTATAGACAATTTACAAACAAAAATTGCATTTGATTCTTTTAATACAATTAAAGGTTCATTAAGATTCATTATTTGAATAATTTTTGTAGTAATCATTTTTGAAATTTTTTAACCTTAAGTGACCTTGATTTTTTCAGGAAAATAAACTGTTTTAGAATTATTTGTTTTTATTGACATTTATTGTGCACTCTATACCCTGCATCTCTTGTCTGAACCTTTCTTTGACATGTAGTTGCAAATGGTTCAAAATTGCTTCACGTTTGACGTCCCTGTGTATTGTACATTTGTAAGCTTGTACACTTTGTACATCTTTATTTAATATATAAATTATAAGTTATATTTAATATACAAGTTATGAGCTATATTTAATATATAAATTATAAGTTATACTTAATATAAAAGTTATGAGCTATATTTAATATATAAATTATAAGTTATATTTGATATATAAATTATAAGTTATATTTAATATATAAATTATAAGTTATAATTAATATATAAATTATAAGTTATATTTAATACATAAATTATAAATTGACCTGTCCACTAATTAACTACAAAATGAAGATCTCGACCCACATAATTTTCATCGAGATGATGGATTTTATCTATTGTTTTCCTTCAAGCTGAAATTGCAGTGACAAATTACGATACCAGAGGAATTGT